ATAAAAATCTCTCGAGTCATAAAATTCAAAGCTAAAGCGTAGGAATAATTATTATTGTTGCGATAAAGAATAACTTTAACGTGTCCCAAGAACTAGTATTAATTTGCACCTTGTGGTATGTATAATTACATTTTCTTCAACAATTGTGGGCTGTTAACTGTAAAAATTATATTAATTACTATATATCCTATACATGAAATATAACACATCAAACTCAAAAGGGTAAATTAATAATTGTTGTTGACAATAAAACGTATGATTTTTTTTATGGGAATTACCAATTTGTTTTCAATTTAATTATTTCAAAACACTGACGCAGAAAGCATTTTTTTACATTTGGATGGAATATAATACAATAATTAGGTATAACTAGATTTTTTTTTTCTAACCATCGTCATGAATTAGAAATCATAAAAGACAGATTTTAGATCAGTTTTATCATTTAAACCAGAACTCGTTAAATAATTATAATTGCTCATTTAAAATCCATCCCAATCCGACAGATCAGGGTCAAGGTAAATGTAATTGTGATATTACGTTTCATTGATGTTGATATTATTTTTTATTTAAAAAAAATAACTCAAATTAGGAAGCAGTTTTTTCGTTAATGCGTTTTACAGACATGTTATGTGCAAGTATTACAATTCACACATTTTTTAACGCATGCGTAAGAAATTATAGTAATATGCTTGGAGGTCGTTAGTGGCATTAAATTCATTGTGAGTGATTTTGATTTGCTATACTTAAAAAAAAAACTGTTGTTAACGTAATACTTGTTGGTAATACAAATACAAGAACTAGGGTTTCAATATATTTTAATATAATTTTATAGCTAATTATTATTTTATAAACATTTTTTTTTACCGACCTAGTAAAAAAAACTTGAAATAAATTTCTCAAACATTTTATAAGTAGGAATTTTAAGATGAAAATTGATTTTAATGGCAGAAATGTAACATATAATTACCAAATGGTAGGTACCTATAAAATGTCGAGTTACTATTACTAATGTAATTTTCTCAGCGGTACCGACTTGATAAGTCGTTGTAACAAATATATGATACTAATGAGTAATATATAGTATAAGTATAAAGTACTACTTACTTTTCTCCTTTAAAATCGAGAAAAACACTCAAATCAATTACCTGTATTATATTACGACGCACCATATTTTTTTTAAAAAATACTTAGTCGAAATAGTTCAAAATTTGTATGGAATATTTATTTAATAAAGTACTATCTATAAACGTGGACTAACCAAAAAAATAACGTAAGCTTTTTTTCTAGGAGGTTTGAACATTTGTTTTTTATTTATCTTTTTCGAATGAATAGTTTTAGGACTTAATGTCTGAAAATGAGACCTAAGGTAGACATAAAGTGGGAAAATTACATGTTATATTCAATTTATTTAAAAATCTGTTGTCAGAATATTTTTTATGGTAAACCAAAAAAAGGGAAAAATTACACTTTAACCGTTGTACATTTTTTAACTATGGTGCTATATTTGATTGATTCTACAGTCAACAGGAATTTTAAATGTTTTTTATTTTGTTGTTAATTACGATAGACGGGTAACAATAGCAACAAACAATCATGGACAGACGATCAATCCTATAATCGTATCCTCCCTAATACTCAAAATATAGAGTTTTAACTTTTAACTACATTATAGCTTTTACAATGCTTTTTTTTATCGTGTTTTGTATTTATACCATCTACAAACTCACACCGAAGCATTTGCGTTAAATGTTAATAATTGTTTTGGAAGCTTTATTTTGGTACGATTAGCTTCTCTCATGTTGTCAAATAGTTAACCAAAATTTCGATGAGGGGTGGAGAAGGGTGGTGGTTGTTACAACCAATTTAATAAGGCAGCTCCAATATTCCCATCCCCCAAAAAAACCCCAGTAATAATATCACACAAGTTTACAGTAGTTATTGTTTGTTTGTCATTAATAGTTGGCACAATTTACAATAATTCTATACCTAATGAATTGGCGAAATCATATTCTATATAACAGCTGTTCATTAATTTCAAGATTAGATAGCAAATAATACCTAGATTACATAGAACATACTGCATAGGAAACAAAAAGATACTATGGTCATGTCTATAAAATATATTGTAATTTGTAAGAACTAATACAATCGAGTATACTCAATACTTATAATTGGCGATATAAGCTCAAGGATCCAGAATGTTTTTTTAAAATTGTATTAATGTTAATTAGGGTAATAAAAAGTACAAACATTTATTAAAATCTATAATGATTAAATGTTATTTTGTATTTCATTTATTTTTTATAAATCATTATACAGAGTGACCCACAAATATTCTACAAATGAAATAACTTTTGTTCTAGTGAATATGTTTAAGATTTTTTTAAAAAAAATAATTTATACTCATTTGTGCTATAAACATCACGTTTTTTATTCCACATAACTGTTTTACTTTTTTAAATAATTTTTTTTTAAATTTAAGATAGCCATTAAGTAATAATGGGCTAAGTAATATGTGACAATTCGCTATCCATCCCTAAAGACAAAGTCTTTCGACTTTCGACAATTAAATAACATAGAGGCTCAAGTTTTATCTTTTTGAAACGCGACTTTTGTTTGTATCTGTATGATTTTTTATATTTGTATTCATTATCGAGTTATTATAATTATTAAAACGAGCACATTGTAGATTTCCTCATTTGGCTTAGAAATTTAAAACTTTTAAATAAATTAAAAAAAAAAACTACAGCCTATACCATAGATACGTCCGTATTATTTAGAATCCACTTATAGGTATGATAAGTCACTCTTGGGTCTCATCCTCGGTATAATAATCACATAGCGAGAACACCTTTTATTTCTTTTACAAGTACCCACTCAAAATATGTATTCTATTTTATAGCATATTAAAAATCGGTATACTTATTATATTTTATTACCCATTGGCCATTATGCATCTGAAGATAAATTTCTTTTTTTCTAAAACAGATTCCAATAACACTAATAACTAATTGGCGTTTACCATTGCCGCATATTGGTGCAGTACCGCCTAATAAAGTATAATTAATAACAATTTATAGTAAAATCATTGATTAAATATAGTACAATAAAAATATTAATTAACAGTAATAATTTAAATACTATTGTAATCTTTTACATAATAAGCATTTCATTTTCAATACGATTGTATATGCAGTGTGTCTTATTTTCTCTTAAAATTTTTTAAATTTTGTACTTTTTTTTTGAAAACATTTTTGTTTTTGTTATTTTACAATATTATAAAATGAATTAAGTATTTATCTTTTTTATATAAACAAATCTCTATTAACTTTTGAAATTTGAATGGTAACGTATAATATATTTAACGAACAGTTTTGTAAAATTATTTTTAAAGTTGTTTTTCGAGTTTAAAGTTTAGGACGGGAGGTGGAGAGCGGTAGAGTAATGCGGGCAGATAAAGATAATACTATATAGTATACTCCACCCTTTGCCTCGTTCTAAATTTGAAACCTAAATAACTTTTTATTAACCAGAAAAAATTATTAAATACATACGTTCCCGGTTCCCTTTAAGCTTCAAAAGTTGATAGCGCTCTTATAAAAAAAAATGTAATTTTTTAATCTAATCACATTGTAGTATTATAACTTATAATTTATAAGTGTCGACTGTTGATAAAATTATCAAATATTTAAAGCAATTTGTCTTTATCGGCGTTTAGGTAGAATATTTAGTATACCCGATTATAGTTCTTGGCTTTTGCAGCCTCTACCGGATGTTTTTCAAAAGTAGCAGACAATCTAAACAATACCTATGTATGATGTCTAATGAATTTAATTTCATAAAATAATGGTTTTCATTTTGCTGATATAATACAACACTAATTGAGTGTTTAAAGTCGTTTAGAGCCCTTCCCATAATATCATGAATATCATTCTTGAACATTTTACAATAAAATAGTATTTGTGAGCAGAAGGCTATACAAAAATATTGGTTTTTACATTTTTTTAGTATTTTAAATGAAATATTATAGTACTGAAATAAGTGCTGAGTATTATTATTTAAAAACCAAAAATTTATATGTAACTGTCATTACAATACACACTTTTTTAAAATTGAAATATTAAAATCATCCTATAAGTTTTATATCCTAACAATATTTGACAAAAAAATGGCCGACTGGGTATTGTCAATTAATACTTGCTAATGAAGTAATGGTATTTTTTTAAAGTAGGTAAATTAGTTGCGTAAATATAAAAAAACACTCTTAAATTAATAATAAGAGAATGACTTAAAATATTGTAGGATTATTGTTTTTATATGCCGTTTGCAAAACGAAAATCTATATATATTTTTTTTTCTTTCTTATAGCCTTTATCATGAGTTTAAAAATCTGTATAATTTTAATAAATACGCTGAACGTACAATTATTTATTGGTTAATTCCTTACTTATAATTTCAGTTTTGTTAAGCTACCCTTTTGTTTTAAACGGCTTCTCTGTATGGTTAATGTTGGTAATTGCTTTTAAAAAAATATATAACAAGTTAACTAAGTTAAATTGCAAGCTATCTGAAAAAAACTTAAATTAGTAGAGTAAAATTAGAGTTAAAATTAGAATTAGAGTAAAAAGTTAGGTAGGTACCTAACTTAATAGTATGATTTTTACTTTGTTTTTAATTTATAAGGGCAACTGTTTTTTGCAAAATCGTTTTAAATTAATAATTACCTATTGTTGTTACAGTGTATAATACTTTCCATAGACAAGTATACCTACTTTCGGTATTTTTTTTAAGCCTATTTCAAAATATTATGGCTTGACTAGCAAACCTATAAATATTTTTTAATTTGTTCAGACAATTAAACGGGTTTTTGGTTGTGTGACGTTTTGTTGTTTTGGATATTTGGTGGATTTACTTTTTGTCGTTTTCTTATCACCGTGTCCCTACACCCACGTCCCCAATGGCCCTATCACAAAGGATTATGATTTTCCACGTGACCTCGAACGCCGGAATTCGTTGTGTGATAATATTTAATTTCTTATACTGTCTATTTAGCAACGTTATTTTTTTCAAATGTCATTTTCCATCTTTTTGTGAAACAGAAAATATGTATTCGAATTACACCAAACATTTTGAAAACTCTTCAGATATAAAATGGGAAATAATGTACGCTCTGCGTGAATGCCGAGATAGGTATTTGTTACAAAGCGGTAAAATGTAAGTCAAACGTAAGTTATTTAATGGTATTTATGTTACTAACACTATTAATGCTAAATTCTACGAGTCAATTAGTTTGAAACTTGAAAATAGTCGTAGTATGTGGATTATGAAAAGCAAAATTTAAAAACAGTACACATTCGTGATGTGATTCATATTAACAAAAAGTAAAATTTTGATGTACATAGTTTTAAGAGATATTTATTTAATAGTTTTTTGATTCACATAATACCTATTTATAAGGGTTATACTACTAGCCAATTAACATTATTTTGTGTTGTGCACACAGGTTATCTGAGTTGTTATTAGCTCTTGATGATATACCTCCACATTTTGATGACGAAACGGGACTTGCCGGTGATATACTTGCATATCAAGATGTCACATTTGAAAGTACAGAAGAATATCTCATATATAGCAAAGCACGTTCTTACTACGAAACAGAAGAATATCATGCGTAATTGTTTACTAATAAATTATAAAAAAAAAAAAACCATCAAATTTGAATGTATTACAATTTTTTTAGGTGTGCCTACATAACGAAAAATTCTAAAAACTCCGAAACAATGTTTTTACATTATATGGCAAGGTACATGAGTATGCACAACCAATCGGTTTATGAGCGTACTAATTTGTTCGAAGAGCCTAAACTCGTAGGAATGAGACAAAACTTTATAACTTTATTAGATGAACTATTAATTTTAACTGTGTATGGTTCTGAGAGTGATGACGAATTCGAAGATGTCAATCAATCTCAATTATTGTCATTTATGTCTGAGCTCGACGACGATGAAACTGATATGAAAATATCTGTTAGTCAACAAAACGAGTCTACTCCAATTAAAAGATGTAGCAGTAGGCGAAATCGCATCCAAAAACCTAGTACACCGTCATTCAACCAAAAATTTTCTATGCATAAAAGTAGTACTAGAAGTAATATTTGTAAAAAAAAAAAAGTTCAGTCTAAAAGATCAATAACGTTTGATGCTCATATAAGCTTTGAAAACGGTTGCGGAGATCCCTACTTGCTGTGGCTTGCAGCTGTCATGCTAAAAAAAGTAGATAGGTTTGAGGAGGCGACCATGTTCCTAATCGAATCATTGGAAATTCAACCATGTAATTGGGCTGCTTGGATTGAGCTTTCCACGTTAATCAAAGATATAAAAATGGTAAATGACTGATTGAAATGATATAATATCAAATAAGTCTCTCTTTCTGGTTATGAAACTGAGCTTTGATTTTGTTTGTTTATTTATTATTTTTCATTGATACTTGCTTTTCTGACCGTTGCTCATATTTTTCAGCTAGAAGAATTAAATATTAAAACACATCCTCATCATTGGATGCAGCTACTGTTTCTAGCACACGTATACTTGGATTTCCAGTTGACTGATAAAGCATTGCAAATATATAATGATATATTGCAGTACGGTGACTCAGTATTTCAAAAATGGCCATATTTACGATGTCAACTAGCCATCGTTTATCATAACAAGCGAGGTAAAAAACGATTTTAAGTGTCCAGATAAGGTTACAGTCAAAATTCACATTTTACTCTCAAACTTTTTCCAAATAAATTTAATATATTTTTTCTAGAAAATTCTGGAGGTAATCATGAGCTCATTAAAAAAAAAAATTTTTTTCAATTTTTTTTTTTAAATGTGTAAAATGATAGTCTAGTTGAGGTTTAATTTTAGAAATTAATGTATGCCAGGAACTGTACCCCTGATTATTTTTTATTTCAAACCATCATTTCACAAATAATTGTGAATTAATTGTTACTAAACATAATATTATTCAAGCACAAAAACAATCCGTGCCATGCAATTTAACGACATAACTTTTGATGCTTTAGTACTTAAACCAACGGCAGATTTTATTTTTGAAACAAAACACTGAAAATGTATTATTTCATCAACTGTTAATTTAATTTATACATCTATATATAATTTTTTTTTTAATAGAAATAGCTAGTTCTGTAAAGGAGTTTATAAATGTTCTTCAGCTTGATCCATACAGATTGGATAACATTGATTTGCTGTCAAACTTAATGTACGTTTGCGATCATCGGGATCAACTTGTTGTTCTGTCTAAACACACATCTACTGTCGACCGCTATCGCCAAGAAACTCTTTGTGTTCTAGGTACAGTTTATTAATAAAATAATTTGTTGTTTAAAATTTATGTATGTAAGTTATGTATACAATATATATTTAAATGTATATTTTTTTTTTTAGGAAATTTGTATAGTTTAAAATGTGATCATGCTAAATCAGTTTTATATTTTAAAAAAGCACTAAGGATGAACCCCTCTAATGTAACCGCTTGGACTTTGTTGGGACACGAATATATTGAGATGAAGAATTCTTTTGCGGCCATTGCATCGTACAGGCAATCATTGAGTATGCAGCTATTAATGAATTCTAAAATTGACTTATGAAAATAATTTGTTACTGTGAAAACTGACCCAAACTAATATGCTATTGCAATTTTTATTAATTAATCGTATAAATTTAAGCACGTTGGCTGCATTTAGACTAATGAAAAATAATTTGCTATTGTGTAAACTTCACCAAACTAATATGCTATTGCATTTTGTATAAAATTATCATATAAACTTAAACACATTGACTGCCTTGGGTAAAACAAAGAGAAAACTATCAAACAAATAACTCAATTTATTCAAACTAGAAATAACACAATATGAATCACTTCAAAAAACAAATATAATTATATTAACAAAGTTAAATGGACTCATATGATGGAACTTATGGCATAATTTGCACTACCAATGGCAGCTAGTGTATTAGGTTATTGTTGTTTAGTAGCATATTTATTTAAGGAATTTTTACATATGAGTAGTCGAGTTGAAAAAAGTTGCAGTTTACTTTAAACAAGACTAACTGAAATAATTTAATGTAAATCAGAAATTGGTTGGTTGTAATATTACAATTAATGTTTAAATTATTATTGACAATTTTGTTCATTTCTTCTGTAGAAATAAATATTAGAGACTACCGAGCTTGGTATGGTCTTGGGCAAATCTATGAGCTAGTAAAGCTGCCGAATTATGCTTTATACTACTTCGGACAGGCGTATGCACTTAGACCACGAGATTCACGCATGATAGTCGCACTTGGGGAAATGTATGAACGCACAGACAGGGTTTGTGAAGCTCTCACATGTTACTATAGAGCACTACGTTACGATATTGAAGGGACGGTTCTACTTAAAATTTCAAAGTATATAACTTCCTATGATGCTTGTGTATTTTTAAAAAATGTGCCTAAAACAATTTCCATATTTTAGGTTTTATGAAAAGTACAACGATGACAGCAATAACCATGTTATTTGTGATAATTTCCACGAGTTAAATAAAAGCGCTTTAAAAACGGCTCTAGATGAAAACTGCTCCGAAAAAAAGTTGAATTTCTTATTGGCAAAGATTTATTTGTATTTGGGATATCACTATTTAGATCAGAATAATTATGAAAGAGCCTATGCAATGGCTGAAAAATGTCGTTCTCTGTGCGTGGAAGACGAAAACCAGATAAACTTGGAGGTAAACTTAATATGTGTACATTAGAAGGTATTTACGATCTGTTAACAATTTATAAATTGTTTATTTTAGTTTCAAGATAATGTCAATAGCCTACTAAGCGAAGTAGGAGCCAGAACAGGAGTGTCTCAAAATGTTGGCGGCCCGTTAAAAGCACGCAGATTCCTATTTGCATTATGAATTTATTACTACTAATATTTTTTTTACATGTGCTATAGAAGACTGATTTTTATTTATTTTTATTATGCTAGGATTGCTACCAATATTTTACCAAGTTTGTTGGGGGAAAAAATGTAACAGCTCCTAATTAATTTTAATAATCAACTTAATTCAATTGTTAGCCAAAAAAAATATATTTTACTATTTTAAGTATAACATTAAATTCTGAAATTTTTATTTACAATTTGTTAAGTATCAAGTCGAGCTATTACATTTTTTTTTGTACCAACAAAAATAATACGAAGTAAAGAAAAACTACCAAAAACTGATGAATATAATTTTTATTGTGATAATGCAAAAGTCCATTCTAAAATGTAAATAAATGAGACATTAAATTAATAAAACATAAGATTTAGTATAGCTTTTAAAATTCAACCTTTTTATTTCCAGTTTTATATTTTAAGTAGCTAAAAAACTTTAAAAAGAAGTACTTAGTAAAGTAAAACGATTCCTTTATGTATTAAGGAAAAAAATAAATTTCTGACCACTTGACTTTTTTTTCCAAAAACTTCAGCTCATTCAGATTATAGACATACCGAAGGTTCATGTACTTTATTTGGCCGTAAGTTTAAAATTATCATCTCTTCACCTTTATAAACGAGAAAAGTATCCAACAAATAAACATACTTAAAAATTACATGCTAACTTTCCTTAATATAGCCGAATTAGTTAAAAACTTGTTTTAGTTAGTATGTTGTGAAAATAAATAAAACTTCTTAATAGGGGTTACATTATTTTATTTCTATAACTTAAAATTATTTATTTTTTTTTAAACATTTTCCCTATCTATATTTTGGTAAGGTTATATGTGTTATCAATTTGTAGCAAAATTGATAGCATTTTATTGGTGGGAAATTATTTTTTTATGTGTCAGGTGCCTACTTTATAACATATACCCTTTGTGTGATTTTTTTTGGCACATATTAAATGTGATACACAATATTGTTTGGTATAAAAAAAATTAGTTACCCGACTGATAGTTCTTGCCAATACAAATAAAAATTTTACCTTCTATGCATTTTTATTATACTTAGCAAATTTCCACTTAAATGGTTATCTCTTTAAATTGATTGATTAGGTGTAAAAGAAAGTCTGCTTACAATCTGCATTTTATTTTTAAATATTTCATTGATTCGTTTAATTTAATTGTTTTCCTTACTGTAAACAAAATGTTTTTAAAATTGTCAAATTTATGGGAGAGATGTGTATAAATCTGTCTATCAAATTTCTGTAAAAAGTCCCCAATTCTTCGGTATGTGTAATTTTGACAGTCAAATAGTTTGCTTTTCGTTCTCGACGACCAAATTTTCAATCTTATAGAATCCAAAAAACCTCTGTTGGTTGTCAATTTGGATTTTGGACGCATTGTTATTGTACAATTTATATAGGGTTCTTGGCGACCAGATCTAGAGGAGTGCACTGCATACCCTCGTCGTTGTGAATTTGTTTGAAATTCTCGACCGCATTTGTACGTCGAATGTGTCTATGAAATTACCCGAATCGTTTTTCATTTTTGTATTCTAAAATGCATTGAAATTAAATAGAAATGCATAAAAAAATTTAACTAGAAGTGTAATACTTTCTCTGCTTTGTATTCCTTTAACAATACAGATTACTTACTAACAGTAAAAAAAAAACATCAAGCAACAATTCTTTTAACAATTATAATGGAATAACAGTATAGATTATTTGGTCGGGTTTTTTTAGGGGGAGAGGTTTTTTTTAGGTTCTGGGGAGGGGGGGCGTACAAATGTTTTAAAAATTAAATGCGATTATTAATTTTTACAATTAAAATAACAATTAATGGAATAATTTAATAGTTTTCCAGTAGAATTTACGATGTGCGGGTGCGAGGATGTCGGCAAATAATAAAACTCCTTAAAAAAATGATCATCATTAAGTATAATAAGTATCCTAATCTCTTATAATATATTTTTTATTTTGTTATTACTTGTGCGGCTGTGGTAGAATAACTGATAACAAGTATCTATATACATATTCTTTAAACACTCAGTCACATTTATTAATTTATAAAAAATTATAAATATCCATTATTATCAGTATGTTGTAAGTAATTTAAAATTGTTTCGTCGAATTGGTAGAACATTACATTTTTCCGTACGCTTTATCAAACAAAAACAATTTTATTACAAAAAACAAAGGTATATTTATGATTTTGAAAAAATTAATTTAAAAACAAAACTAACGCTATACTAAGTTTTACTTAAACTAGTATGGTCTTATGGCATAGAACTTTGGGGTTCAGCAAAAATCTCCAACACAAACAGAATCCAAGTGTTCCAATCTCGAGTCATCGGACCATCCTTGCTGCACCTCCTTATGTTTCTAACGAAACGCTCCACAGAGACACTTTCCTCCCTACTGTAGTCGAAGTAATAATCAAAACTCACTATAAACGATTCCAAAGTTTTAGTTGTCATAATTTAAAAAAACAATTACCATATAGCAGACTAGTCTTTTGATAAAATGTAACAATGCATTTTGACTTTCTCTCTGTTATAAAAATCGAATGTAGACTGCATTAGACTGCAAATTAACGTTTGCAAAAAAGTGCTATCGATTTCAACTACCTTTTTATAATGACTTGGTGGAAGCTCGTTGGAAATACATTTTTTTTTTTTTAATAGCAAACATTCATTAAGTTATTATGTACATCAAAACTTTCAAAGTCGGTCAAATCAAGAATTTTACTTGTAGCATTTATATTACAAAAGCTATGGGGATGAAATTACCTTGATAACCTCGTTATTCAACATAAACGCTACTTGAACCCAGGCTTAAGTTATGGTTTTATAAAAATATTTATACACATAATATGTTGTATCGGTATATTACATATTTTGTTTTCTGGCCAAATTGCGTACAATAACTATAACAGTCAATACATGCTGTCGACCGGCCGTTCAGACGATCCCGTACTTGCGACTCTCTCGGATGTTTGTTTCTGTATTTTTAACAACATATACATTTATATATAATCGGTATAGCGTCGGTGTTTGGTAGTATAGTCCACTAACAGTGATAAATAACAAAATTATGTCAATTATGCAGAGAGCGTTACAAAGACTAGTGCGATCGAGAATCTTAGCCAAACCGACGGCGGCGGCAGTGGCCAACTATTCGTCCGACGGTGATGCGTGTGCCCCGACCAAAAAAGGTTTGGTGTTGGGCGTGTACAGAGGATGTAGCCCAGGTGAAGTACGTATGTCGGACGATGCGCAGAAATTCGACCTCGCCGTGTCCGGGCGCGCCACAGACTTTCTGTTGACGTCCAACATCGCCCGACAAGGTGTAGTGGTAGCGCACGACCTGCACCCGGACTACTTCGCGGTGGCGTTCGCCGACATCGGGCCGATGAACGCCGGGTACAACAAGCTAGAGAACCTCGAGGAGTGCCTGGAATGGACGAGGACCGGGGCGGGAGTCGGAGCCCGAGCGCTGCAAAAGTACGGCGTGGACGACATCTACGTGGAGAACATGTCGAACGTCCAGGCGGCCGCCGAAGGGGCCGTGTTGGGCGCTTGGGACTTCGACGGTTACAAGGTCACGGAAGAGCGCCTAAAGAGCCAAGTGTTGCCGCACAACGTCAAAGACACGGAACTGTGGAGGAGCGGAACGATTACGGGCGAGGCGCAGAACTTGGCCCGGCACATCGCGCACCTGCCGCCAAACGTGGGCACGCCCGAAGGTATAGCCGACTACGTGCGCGACGTGCTTTGCAAGTGCAGTATCAGCGTAACCATACGCAACGTGGAATGGATCGAAGAGAAAAAGCTCAACTCCCTGTTATCCGTGGCCATGGGGTCGCGGCGCACTCCCATAGTGTTGGAAATGTCGTACTGCGGCGGACCGGCCGACGAAAAGCCGGCCGTGCTCATCGGCGACGGGTGCACGTATGACTCGTGGGGACTGTGCCTGCGCAACCAAAAGCGCCCCGAATGGGGTATGTACGCCAAGTCGGGCGCGGCGTCCGTGATCGGTGCGATGAAGGCCGTGGCGCAACTATCGTTGCCGTTGAACGTGAACGCCCTGGTGCCGCTGTACGAGAACAAGCCGGGCGGCATGGCCATGAAACCAGGGTCGGTGATTAAGACGTACGACGAAAAAACAACCGAAGTGCACCGAACCAATGTATCGTCCAGGCTGGTGCTCAGCGACATAATCGGTTACAGTCAGATGCTCACGCCCAACTTAATCATATCAGTGTCTTCGCTGTCCAACGACACACAAAACTACTTAAACGGTAGCGCAACGTTCGGGTTCACCACAGAGGAAGGCCTGTACAATCAGATCGAAGGCGCGTCCGCGTCCACCGGCGACCGAGTCGTCCGCGGCCCGCTTTGGAACTTTTACAAGGCTAAAACACTGTGGCCCACCTTGGCCGACACTCGGGTGGTGCCGTATAAAGAAGCCGGGGACGCCATGGCCGCAGCCATGTTTTTGGAAAAGTTCAAGCCCAAAGGATCTGCCATGATCACGTTGGACGTGGGCGGTTCAGCGTTTCTAAGGAGTCCAATGCCGGAACACTACCTGAGACCCGAACGTATGACAGGCAGTCCAGTCCGTACCATTGTGCAATTATTGAAACAAACAGCATGTCCTAACGACAGGAGACCAGCATGTTGATCAACATTTTAACATTAATCGTGTAATGAGTAAAAATTAATATACTACAAAATAATCCGTGAAATGCTTTTGCATTTTGAAATTTGTCCCTTTTTTTAAGTAAATTTATGTTATATTTGTGAGACCGTTTAAAAGATTTCGAAATGTGTTGCTAGGATTTCTTAAAATTAATAATTGGTTGTAAGTAATTAATTAATTATTAATAAATTATTATAAATTAATTAATTTGTTTAACGCGGCCCGTCTGGCGGATTGCATGCCCAATAACAACAAGATAAAGTAGGTAGAAGCGACAAGTATATTGTATGTCAAATTCTAACAAACTATTTATAAATTATAGTGTTAAGTTAAAAATGTATAAAAACAAAAATGGAGGTGTCTCTTTCGATTCTCTTCCCCTTCTATCCAAGGTCACTCATGATCCTATCATTAGGAGGTATGCTTATAATGTCTTTGGAGGCGACTTTCGGAAAATTCAAGATAGTAATTATTAGTGTACTATGGTAACAAACGTATTCGACAGTAGTATACAACATTAGTCGATACCGATTGACTAGTCGAGTTATACCGGCGATATGAATAGATTGCGGTCGGCCGATTTGAGTGTAATCGTACGAGTTCACCATGGTGTCGGGTTCGACTTGATCGAAGGTAGCGTGACAATGGAAGCCACTTTTGACGGTGACTTACAGCAGAGCGGGCGAACTTTTCCTGCGCGCCGGAACCGAGTCACCTTTGACGAGCGGTTCGTGTGGACGGTAGGCAAAGAGACTGTGAAGAGCATGCGGACTGCAAACGGAGTGGTCTTGGTGCAGTGTTTTCGAATACCGTCGATGCCGGTAGACCACGGTGGAAGCTACGAGCTATATGAGAGACAGAGGGTGGGACTGGCCGTGATCCGGCTGAAAGAATTCCAAGTGATCGGTCGTGACTGGGACCAAGAGGTGGCTCTCAGGTACTACACGTTGCATTGTGGTACCGGCAATGGCAACGTGGCTCTACGCATGTCTCTGGTTATTAAAGACACAAGTGCTCATTTCAACAAACCCTCCGCGGCCAGACCACAAGACCGTTACCACCGACCCCGAGACAGACTGCCAGTGGTAACTCCGATGGATCAACAACAACCGGTGGCCACTAACCGTCCACAACCGGTGGCCGCGGCGGCCACAGTGAGAAACCGTCAACCCAACCGGAAGACGACGTCGAAACGAGGTAAACGCAATTTATACATTGATGTCATCCGTATAGTAACATTGGTCTTGAGTTCCGTGGTGGACGCAAAGGGAGGTACCTCCAATGAGTCATCGAGGGGAAGGACTGTACAACACCCCACTAACAGTTACAACAATGACAATACACCAGGAACGCGGGACCGGTTTCAGATTTTAATTATCTTATCTGATTTCATCCTTGTGTCCGCTTTTTTCAGAACAGTACAAAGAAGCGAAACGCCCAGTAGCCGCATACCAAAGCGCCAAAGGCCAAACTTACGACGACATTGCCAACTCGATGAGTGTTCAAGACAACGCTGACTCGATGAACGTCAACGATAATAGCAATTCGATGCACAATCGTGACAAATCTCATTGGATGCGCCTTCACGAATGTAACTATTATCCACACGATAAAATCAGATTAGGCGCGTCCAACGCAACAGCGGATGATTTTATCAAGACGATGGAACAGCTGACGGTGGACATGGTCGAAGTGCGAAAAAAGACTTCCAAACAATGTCAAGTAGTCAACGAACACGCCAACAAGACCACGTGGAAGGACTGTCCGAGGATAGCCGGTGGCAGAGGCGATTTAGATCAGCTAAATCCATCAGAGAGACATCGGGTCGGTAATAATTTGGCAGTGACGAGCAGAGAGTCTCTGTTGACAATGACTACAGACAGCGTGTTAAGTGATGACGCTCCCACCCGCGTAAGACGCGTGAAGAAATGTAACAACATAAAGACAAGCATGATAAGGAGCGTACGAATAAATAAGAACAACGCGAAGACGTCCGGGACAGCCGCCGACCAATCTTGTAGCTCTCAATCGGACAATGACATGCAGCGTCCAGTCGTGCTGGTAGAGAAATTGAAGGAAAGCGTCAACCAATTGGCCAATAGCTTTTACCACATGAAAAAAAACAAACGGTACACCAAAGCCAAGTACTCGAAGGGTGTAACGGTTCTAAAAAAATTGAACGCGGAAACCGTGAAGCTCAACGAAAAAATAAGAGAGGCCCGACTGTCGGCCTGTAACCAATGCCGTAACGAGGCTTTGTGATCAACTCTCTCTCTCTCTATCTCTTTAGCCTCACAATTCTTCAAGAGTCTTGGCGCTATCTTACAAGTTTAGTATGCTTTTCATCCAATCTGCCACTCCCAGTGGTAACTATAGGTCTTGTTTGACGCTATCCAACTAATGTTAAACTGGTCTTCTTTATTTGTATCCTCCCAGCTCATCATATTACTTTCGGGTTGCTGTTTCCTTCGCGCCAACCATCGTATTCAGAGGGTCCAGACATTAATTCTGTTAATTGTGACACAAATGTCACTTGAGTTCGTCTATTTTTTCAAAAATGTGTTTTATTTACATCCATACAATGTATTTGATTTGCAATAGTTCCATCGACTTAGGTTTCCTTTAACTTAGTATAACCTAGTGATTTAAAATCATTTACGAGAGTCACGTTTTGATCAACAAACCACAATATGTCAATTCAGATTACACCAATGTCAATCACACATATGTTTCTTACTTTGTACTGAACTTTCTAACGCAATAATAGTAAAATTGTATCGCCTCGGCTCTATCAAATAACGACTTAGAATTTTTTAAACGGATTATGGTCGACCCTTATTATATAATTTGTTTATTCGTCCTTTAACAATAATATGAGTTTTATGGTAATTCAAATTCATACATAACGTTGTATGGGCGGTTTATACTGTGTTATGTATACTGCTAAGTGCTAATACGTACATGTTTTGCGTTTCTTGTGAAAATTTAATTTTATGTAATTAACATAAATACTATTTTTATCGACTACTGCTATTTTGTAATAAAAATAATTTGTATTTTTTTAAAACGACGATTCTAACTTTATAATGCAAAACTTGAGAAATATTAAAAAAAAAAAGAAAAACTACGCACACCAATTAAATACATTTTTTAAGTACTATTTATTAATTAAAATATAGTTCTGAATACTATATTGTTATTGTGATATTTGGAATTTTCAAGTTGGGTGTATAATTAACATATGTCCGAGAAAAAAAAATTGTGTTGTTTATTATTAAAATATTGCGAGAAAATAACCTAGGTTCCTATAATGTTATGTTAACAAAAACATTTTTTTTTTATAAAAACCGGTGAAATTCTATATGTTTTTTATAATTTATTGCGTCGCTCTGATATTTGTTTCTTGGGATAAACACAATCATATTTTATATTAAAAAAAAAGTGTCTTAAGTTTGTATGTAAACGTCAAATATAATATTTATGACGTATTGTTAAATTATAATATATATTATAATAAAGTACGTTATAATATAGGCTTTATTGTATTCAGCTTTTGAACATATTTTAATCATGATAATGGCACATAACTTGTTTAAGGTAAACCGGAATCGGACAGTTAGTGTTTCGAAAATTGATAAATATATTGTAATTCGTTACATATTTGACCAGTTTAAAGGTAAAATTCATTATAAAATTCGATTAACGTACAATAAGCAAGTCCGGCGTGGTTTTAATTGTATGAAAATTGGCGTTCACTCTTACCTACACATTTATGTTTAAAAAAATGTATTTAAAAACTATTTTATTCTCTTACAAAGTTGCCGCCAAATTCAATAACTAATCAGTATTAGATATGGTCACATTATTTTCTTCTTCAAATATACATATCTGCAAAACTTCCCTTGAAGGATATCGATTAGAAATCTATCACTAACTGAAAACTTTCTAAAATTGTAAACAATTGTATTCGGTGGAATTGTAAGTTAATATAATATTTTGTATTTTATAATAGTGACAAATCCTCCTGAAATTCTGATTTCTGATTATGAGTTTGAAACGGAAGGTATGTAAGTAACATTAACGTACATAATATATTATTCAAAATAATAAGCTAAATAACACTATATTGTCTTTATTTTTAGTCGACCAACCGAAAAAACCTAAAGACATTAGTACACATTTAAACACTTGTTATACACACTTTCAATTTACAATTTTAGTTAAATATTAATTGTTGTCTTCATAAAAATGTAGCTAAAAATTACACCCAAAAAAGTGAAATAAACTGTTGCCGTCCCTTTTAGGGAAAAAGCTAAATAATATTTTCTTGGTTATGATACTTATGAACAAAGAAACCAAATTTTGAACTATTTTTACAACTAGTCAATTGCTTGAAAACTGGCCATTTTACTTATATTCGATCTACGTGTAATCAGTATAAAGCCAAGTGTTATATATTATGACTGTGTCTTATAAAACGGAAAGGTCTAAAATACAACTTTTCAATAATATGAACATTGCATGATTTTTTTTTTTTTTTTAATTTGCTACGGACAAAACAATTTATATATTATGTTAGGCATTAGTTAAAAACAGTACTTTGGTAAATCTTAAATGGGGTTTAAGGTAATGTGATTGTGAGTAGTAGGTATTTTCTTTTTCAAAAACAAATTGTTCTTGATTTTAGGATGTATACACTATTATTATACCAATTGATGCATTAATAGTATTAGTTAGGGAAAACCCAAAAGTTTAACAATAATAAACAAGACATGCATAACGATAATAATTTTTAGTTAGCCAACAGTCAACGATTTCAACATTTACCCATCATTAAAACAAATTTGAAATTTTCTTAGTTCATTTGTTTATTAACAAATTATAACTAAACTAATTATACAGCTGCAATATACAATATACACATTACATATGTTTGTTAAGTAGTTTTTATCTGTGTGTTAGGATCGGCACAGTTGTGAGTT